AAAGTGATGAAATTAACAATGAATTGCAAGGTGCTTGGATAAAATAAATTCACACCTATTTATTGGTTCCCTGTGGTTCTCTTAGGATGGCAAACYCCCTTTTGTTTGAGAATGGGAGATGCAGGTGTAAAATACCTTTAGAGCATTTCCTAAAATACAGGGGTCTTAAGGAGGTAAAGTAAAATATTATTTACTGTAACAGGAAAATGAAATAAAAATGGCCAGCAGATTTATTKTTATCATTTGGAGGATAATAATWATAATAACARTAGTAATAATACTACTAAGTGATGCSAAACCTTTTAGCAAGGAATGGCATTTGGAAAAAAAAAAAAAAAAAGGTGAAGATGAATTGTGTTTTCACAGACAGAATGTGTGACTTGGCAAGTGACATTTAAACAGAGAAGAGGCAGACAAAGATTTTTTATTTGTTTCACTTGTTATAATTTAAAACTTTTAAATGGCTAAATAGAGAGATTGGGTCAGAATTCCCAGGTGGAATGTGACCTTGTCTCTGGTCCCTGGAGCTGCCTGTGCCTTCAGGAGCAGCACAGTTTATTTCAGCTGWTTTATTTATTTTATTATTTATTTTATTTCACACCACACCGTGAGATCTCTGGCTCCGTTTTCAGCTTCCAGGCTAGGTGGTGTTTATGTTTCTGCTGGTGATGACCAAGTTACAAAAAACTATTTTTGCCATTTCAGTCCTTCTCTACACCAAGGGCTGGTGCTGTGTCTCACCACATGGTTTTTAATTTGTGGTGTGTTCTCCAGTTGGAAGCATCATCCATCTCCCAGGATATGATGTAAATTTGATAATGCAGGTCAAAAAAAATTACATATTTATGGTCAGTTAAGTCTCCGTAGGAATTGAAATATTCAGGATTACTTCTCTGGCTGTGAGTTATTGTAAATTTTGTGAATTTTATGTGAGATGAAATGTGGTTGATAAACATAAAGGTATGAGGAAAAACAGGATGAAAATGTCAGTGCAAAAAACTCTGTGTCTGGAAGGAAGTAAATTGCTCTCCAGCTTTTGGAAGAAAGGTAAATTTAAAGAAACAACAGATTTATTGAAGTCTGTCATGGTTAGTAGAACACCATCTCCTGGATTCCTTATTTCACCAGCAGAAGGTAGAAATGGAAACTGAAACAACCTAAACAACTGAAAAATAGTAAGAATTGCACGACTGGCAGAGAAACATCCCAACCCCTGTGCCTTTATCACATCAGCTTCCTCAAGGATATTTTTCATAAAACCACATTTTCTGGCACTAAAACCCCTCGCTCTCCCTATTCTTGAGCAGAGAAATAACCAAAAAGTGTTACAACTTCTGCCACCATCATTCAAGTTCCCGAGCTTGCTTTCTTTTAAAGTACTTTTAATAGTTCTACACAAAAATTTTCTGTGAGATCAGGGAGCTTATTAAATTTAGCATTTCATATTTTTTTTTATTTTGTGTTGTCTCTACTATTTTAGTTTTCTACTACTTTCCTCCTTTTAGATTTTTGAGGTTTTGTTTTAACTTCCATTGTAAGTCGACAAATGCAAATACTGTGCAGTGACTACACAGAAGGTTTTCCCTTTCTGGATTTTTATCCCAGTTTAGTAGAAGTTTCTTCTCCCTTTGCCCTTTGCAGAAATGGCAGCCTTCAGGATTCTTTTTTGATGGCAAATTAGTGAATTTCATACCTGTGAGGAGGAATTACAATAAATGGTTGTCAACAGATGTTGGTGGCACCTCCATCTCAGCAGTAGCTTTGATCTGGCCTGTTACTTTGATTTATTCATTTTTTGGGGGGGGGGTTTGGTTGGTTAGTTCAGGTTGGGATTTGTTTTGAGTTTGGAATTTGCCCCTTATTTGCTGTGGTTTGGTTGGTTTTGTCCAGTTTTTATTTTTGAGGGATTTYGGGGAASGTTTGATTTTCKTTCTGGRTTTGTTTATTTTATTGGGTTGGGTCTTTGTGTGTTCTTTGGTTTGGGATTTTTTTCTTTGTTTGGTGTTGTTGGGTTGCTTGGGCTTTGCTGGTTTTTTAAATTATTATTTGGGATGTTTATTTGTGTTGTTCTTAACACCTCATTGTGTCTGCCAATTCCTGAAATTCCATTGTTGAATTTAGCCCCGCTGTCTTCTTCCTACACAACACCTAAAGTTATTGTTGCATTATTGAATATTTTTCCAGCTTAACTACAAGGCAAATAACGAGTTTGTGTTCCTGAAAATTCAGCCTGAGCACTCATTTAAGGTGGATTTTAAATGCTGAATTTTGATCTGACAAGGCTGCAGTAACCGGCAGAAATGTCCAAATCTGCTTGCAGCGTGCAAACATTTTATTTTCAGCCTCAGAAATAAGTGCTGAACCACCAGTTTGAGATCTGTGGGCAGTGGTTTTAGTTTAGTCCCAGT